CATTTCTTCGAGGTCCACTCATTTCATGCATATCTGACTCTTTGTGACCCCATTTGAGATTTTCTTGGTATAGATACTGAAGTGGTTTGCCATTTCCTTGCTTTGCCTAGATGGCCCAGAGATAGACTGTAGTGGAGCTGACTTGTCTTTATTCACAGGCCCTAGAGATAAACCGGGGGAACAGAGCAAAGCTGAGAAAGGAGGATGATGAAGAAGAAGAATCAGAATACATACTCTTCCCCTCACATCACCCACAAATCAGGGTTACAACATAGATTTACCTATTGGACCTTCTGCTTTGCCCTCTCATCTTCCTATAATTCTCTGGAGAGAATTATTTCCTCATTTGCAGTGAAGCCCTGGACTTGTTATAAAATGCTTATAGACTATAAAAGGCCTCTTTCTATGACCACAGGGCCCCACCAGGTAACTGTTTCTTTCTGTAATAAATATTTCTAGACTGAGTGATTGATTTACAAGCTGGCCATCATTGAGGAAGGTGAGATTTCGGGGTGAATTTCATTGAGGTTGTAATGTCAAATTCAGGGGTGAACGAGTTTGGCCCATTGGAAAAAGAAGACCCTGGCTTTCAGGACTCCTGCCCACATTTAGCTCTTTTCTTTCCACTCATTCACTGTGTGTTGGGCACAGATTTACTCCTTCCCAATAGTGTCAGGAGACCCCATTAATATCGGTAAAGTGCTTAGTGTCTTACAGGCCAGAACCATTCTCTATGTGCAAGACATCCAGATGAATTCTTTTTGGTTTTGATATAGAGTGAAAGTCCTTTGGGGAGGATATTTGTTTTCTCCAAATGAGTTTTCTTCAACCCTAAATTTACCTGATTTGTGTCCCCCTTTGTTATGGTACTTTTGATGAAATATGAGATTCCAGGGTACACTGAGGGTCGATTTTTTTGGTTATATATGACATCATAAAAATTAATCTTTAAGAATAAGCTTCCAGAATCAGTGATGAAAAAAAGATGAACTGTTTTTTTCTCTATGTCTGTTTACAAAATGTATTTATTCATGGGCTACATTTCACAGTTCTAGGCAATGTTATCTAAGACTCCATTGCCTCCAATCTTCCATCTCTTTGACCTCCATGTAGTTGCTAGACTAGAAATTCACTAATGCTTGTTGACAACAAAGAATTTAAAATCCATCCACCTCTGGATCTATCTTCCTGGTGTCTGAATATATCCTTCTCACTCAACACCCTACAAAGTAGAATTCCTTTGATTTTACTCACTGTTGACATTTTTTCAGTGTTCAAAGTTGTTTAAATGTGTGTTTTCCCACAGGTGAATACTTGTCCCTTTTCTCTTTCAATATCCTCCCCCTTGCTAGTCTCACTTAGTCCCACAGCATCAGCAACCTCTTCTTTTCCAATGATGCCTAAATCTCTGTATCTAGCTCTGACCTCATTTTGACACTCATTCAGAGAGTCTAGATTCCAATATCCCTAGCTTCTAGGAGAATGGAGTTCTAAAGCTCTTTCCTCAAGGATCAATACCAAGGGAATAAGGAGATACCCTCAGAACTGCTTCCTTTGTAGGATTTAATATTCTAAGACTGCTAGAAGGATGAATGGTTTCATTCTTCATATTTATAGTCTTAGAACTTGGCACAGTCTCTGTCTTAACACAAGCTTGCTGGAAATGAAACTTGCTGTGATCCTTTCACCCCAAATCAATAATACTTTCTTCCCTCATATCTCCCAGCACTTTGTTTTGCAATTTTCTAACGACTTTATTGTATCATGAATGTTATTGTCATCTATGTCTTGTTGTTTGTCCTTTGTTTTAGAGGACCAATAACATCATGGAATGATGTCTTGAGTTGTAGGTGAATTGGACTTAAATAAGGCAGAGTTGCACAAAATCATCAGCCTCATTCTCTCTTCCAGAGTCAGTGAAGTTCAGTGGCAAAACAAAAGTGAGGATAATGGTCATGGCCCCGGGTGCAATGGATGACCTTGGCATCTTCAATGTCTGACCAAGCTCTAAGCGTTCCACAGCACCTGTTTCAGCCATCTTCATGTCCGTTGGAACAAATTGTTCTCATCTGCCCATTCTTCTGGAGGAAGTCTTCACATGCATGGGGTAGACATCTCTCTAACTCACTGACAGGTTACAGGCCTGTCAGTTACCCTCAACCTGCCAAGACAGTTTTACTATTGTGTGGCTTCTGCACATGTTATAACTTCTTGGAACCACAGGTAAGAGTTGGGTGAATCAGGAAGACACCAAAGGTGGATGAGCAAGCTCTGAAAAGGGCTCAGTAAGTCTTCACAGCAGAGGTCCTAGTCCCGCTGAACACGTACACCCCTCATGTCTTAATCCCCGCCTAGACTATAACCTCTGTGAACATTTGTACATAATCTAAACATTTTTTTAAAAAAAACTCTCTCAGTACTTAGCACAGAGCTCTGCTCAGAGTAGGTGCTTAATATTTGATGGATGCACAGATGCTTTAAATATTTTCTTATTCTGTAAGTTTCTAAAGAAGAGACTATACTTTTTAAATTTGATTTTAATATTATTTATCATAGAACCACATGCTTACTAAATTTTTGATGATGATGTTGATGATGGCCACCTTTTTTTTCCCTTTCATTTTACGCAAGTGAAGACTTTGATCTTACAACTTGTTCAGATCACATGACATTTTGAGGCCTCATATATACTAATTTCAGTACTTAGCAGAAAAATAGTTATCTTCTTGAGATGTGTATTTACCAACTTAAATGTGTACTTGTCACAGGAATATTCTACCCTCTGTGGTTTCCCCTGAAAAGTCCCATCCTAAATTGCCACATATACTGTCCTTTGTTTAGATCAAAGTAGATAGAGAGGACATTTTGAGGAACGAAAGGAAATGCTCAGTGGTATAAGCACCTAGGCAATTTATAGGGTCAGTTTGTAAAATCTAATACCAAATGATTCATCTTCTCTATTATTTAAGAAATTCTGGCAAAAGAGTTTCTATCACATAAAAATTTCTGACTATGTATAGACTTGGAGTATTCCAGATGGTACCACTAGAAGTAGTAGGTGGCACAGTAGATAGAGTTCCAAGCCTGGAATCAGGAAGATCTGAATTCAAATCTGGCCTCAGACACTTAATAGCTATGTGACCCTGGGCAGATTACTTACCTCTGTTTGCCTCAGTTTCCTTATTTGTAAAATGAGTTGGAGAAGAAAATGACAAACCACTCCAGGATCTTTGCCAAGAAAACCCCAAATGCGGTCACAAAGAGTCAGACACAACTGAAATGCCTGGACAACAACAAAGAATAGAGAATGGATAGACTAGAGTAGGAAGTAGCAGGCATATTGTGGATAGAATAGTGGCCTAGAAGTCAGAAAGACTTGGATTCAGATTCAGTCTCTGATACTAACTGTGTGACAATGTCAAGTTATTGAATCATTCTGAGCCTTAGTTTCTTCATCTGTAAAATGAAAATAAATAATAATACATGAAGGCTCTACTTGACAAGATTAGTAGGAGGATCATGGAAGATGATGTACATTTTTAAAAAAGCTTAATTTTCATCTCCAGTCTTCTCTATTGGGAAGCTAGATGGTGCAGGAAATAGAGTACTGGACTTTGAATCAAGAAGTCTCATTTTCATGAGTTCAAATCTAGCCTCAGACGCTTACTAGCTGTCTGACCCTGGGCAAGTCAATTCCTCATCTGTAAAAAGAGCTGGAGGAGGAAATGACTAAAATAGAAATGAAGGAAAAGAGAAAATGTGTTGTAAGAGAAAGCAGGAGCGTATGATACCAGGATCCCATCCTGGCCAACGGTCTTCCCCACTCTGACTGAGTTCAGAAGAATCACAAAGTTATGAAGTGTGGAATATGAGAGCTGAAAGGGACTTCGGAGCTCCTTTTATGGAAAGCTTTTCCTTGTACTAAGAAAAGATCCTTGACAAAGTTTACACTGCTAGATAAAAAGCAGCAAGTGGGATTCCTCCCCATGCCCCAGTTTCAGAGCTTCTTAAAGCTGTTGAAAGAACTCTCTGGAGAAGCCAATCCCTTTTCCCATGTAATGCTGTGATCAATAGTCTTATGTCAATGCTGAAGGCATTGATATAGATAGGCCTTTCATGGATGGATGGATAACTTGATGGAAGATGCTGAGCTCTCAGGAGAAAATGGAGTCATACAATTCTTTGCATGTATAGAATGTCATTCCTTCTAAGATCATAAAGTTATTTTTTTAAATCTACGTTATCTGAACGAGGTAGTGAATTGTAGTAGAGCCCATTACAGACTTAGAATCAGGAGACATAGATTCAAATCCCGTCTCTGATATGTGTATAGGTATCTCCGATACCTATGTGACCTGTGAGCAAGTCATTTGCCTTGTCTAAGCTTCAGAGAGGAAAACATTTATAGAAACGTGAGTTATTATTATCTCATTTATCTCAACAACAATTCCTCCTATCGAATTGGTTGGAGTAGTCACTGCTACCCCCATTTTCTATGTATTGATGGTATTTACATCCTTCACTATTTTCTGCATGTTTGATAGAGTATGTAATAATAGTAGTTAGCTTTTATATAGCTCTTTGAAGTTGACAAAACTCATTTTATTTGATCCTCACAACAACCCCGAAAAGGCAGGTGCTGTTATTTACAGATGAGGAAACTGAGGCTGAGAGAAGTTAAGTGACTTGTGCAGGGTCACTCAGCTAGCAAGTGTCGGGGAAGGGGGGGCAGGATTCAAACTCAAGTACTCCTGACCCCAAGTTCTAGTGTTCTATTTCCCATGTCACCTAATAGGTTCTATGTTTCATCTATTCATGTCAAGGCTGGAAGTCATTAAAAAAAAATCAGCGTCTATTATCCCAGATTCTAGGAGAGCAAGGTTGTGATGTTTATAATCCCTTCCTTGGAAAGGGCTACAAATTACGAATAGGAGAGCCTAAAGAGCCTGAGCGTCTCCCTCCCAGGATGTGGCTGCTGTTTGTTTCTGTCCCCCATCACGTGGTGTGGTTTGGCCCCAGCTCCTTTAGATGACAGTTCATGCAGTCATGCATTAGCTAAGTTGCTGTGGGTGAGCCATCCAGCCCAGCTGGGCAGCCGGGATGGCCTTGGGTTCTGAGATCCTGAAGATTCTTCTTCTTTTCTTAAGTAAGTATCAGCAGCAGCAGCATCGCCTGCCCCCCTCTGCAGCAGGTTGAGTTTTCCAGAAGTCCACTTGATTTTTGCTGTATTGCTTTGAATTCTACATCAGTCCTGTTTCCTGCTGTTTACAGAGAAAGGCTCTTGGTGTGACTTGACTGAGGTATGGTTGTGTTAACTTGCTGAAGGTGAGCGTGGAGGGTGTGTGACTCTTCACAGGGGTGAAGGGAAGGTTGGATGTCTGTCCTCATTTATGACTCCTGAAGCTCTCGATTGATATACATATGTATTCATAACATCCTGTTTTTTTCTTCTAATTTAAACTTGAGCTGCCAAATAAAGAAGCCAAGGTTGTTATGAGGTTCAGTTTCACACTTGGGAGCTTTGGAGAGCTTTGCAATGCCCTTCGTTACCCAGAGGCCTCTTTTTCACAAGCTATCCCTCCTTTCTGATGGAGTGTTTACCAACCAATTGAAAAGCTAGTCTTATTGAAATAGAATGGCTTTTTAAAAATAGATTTATAGATTATGAGGTTTGAAAAGGACCAGTGGAAGAGTTTTAACATGGAAGGGTGACTGGGGCTTTGCCTCAGGATGGGATATTTAGAAGGTACAAAAATTTAACCCATGCACTCCTACAAAGCAGAAGTTCCTTCTTTTTCCTTCTTTCTTTCGTTCCTCCCTTCCTTTATGTCTTTGTTTCTTTCTCTTTCTTTCTCTTTGTTTGTTTCTTCCTTTCCTAGGTCTCCCTGTCTCCTCCTTAGGCAATATGGTGGTCTTTCACTCCCAAGGGCTCACCATATTGGTTTTGGAATTAGTGTAGACGTCTAACACATGTAGCCCATTGAAGCTCAGGATTCTTGAACTAGAGGGATCCTCCAGTCTCAGTTTCCTAAGTATTGGGGACTACAGACATGCACTGGCACTCTAAAGCTATTCTTCTTTCTATTTCACCAAGCTACATCAAGACACTGAGGAAGAAGGATGCTATCTCAATACTGGGTAAGAAAGTAGGGGGAGGAAATATCTTCTTACCCAATACCAGCACCCTAGAACCAAGGCCTGATCACCTTATCTTAGTTACAGCTTTGGTTCTAAGATCCTGTTAGTGCCTGCCTGCCTGGTTCAAATCCTTACACTACCTCTTGCTAGCTGTGTGACCTTAGATATATCACATTACTTCTCTAGGCCTCAGGACCAGAGAATAGAAGATATGGGTTCCTGTCGGGTGTGAGGAGAGCAGGTGGCATCCTGTTTGTTCCCTTCCTCTGTTCCATAAAGAAAATCTTAACTGATCCTGCCCTTTACTATCCCCTCCCTAAGGCTTTACTTTCCTTCTCTTTCTTTCCAGAAATAATAGCAACAACAACAACCTATCCTCTCTCTTGCAACCCCTTTGTAAACATGAAAACTCACTATACAGTGTAAGTAATAATCTCGTTACTACTTTCCCTCCTGGACACTGGGTGGGAGGGAGGTTTTCTGAAGCTGATCTGCTCGTGCAGAAAGCAAACAGGAACTGAAATCCCATGGGCTGGATCAAATGACCTCTGAGATGCCTTCCAATTCTTAGAATTTGTTGACTAAACCACT